TCATTCAATAATGGCTATACTATACATGTTTGAACAAGTTGATCTCTTTTTATGAAATAAGTAAAAACTGACATTTATTGAGTTCATATAAAACCTGTTTTAAAACGAAGAACTAAACAATAAGTTATAGAAAAACATACAGCTATAAACATATGTGAAACACTTTGTTATGTATATATATATATATGTATATATATATTAGAGAACTACTGGAAAACCTGCAAAGAGTACTGGACAGCCAGCTGTTTCGTCCTAGTTTGGAACTCTCCATCAGTATGTACCCATCACTAGGGTTTGAACCCATCACCTTCTAGCCACAAGGTGACCTCGGAAACCATTAAGCCACTGGGACGCTATCCTATGGCTAGTTCATGAATTCTAACTTCTGCCAATTCACGACATATTGTGACCACTAGTCAATGCCTTCAGCGAATATTTGTCCTCACCTTCGACCTGCTGTACCCTACTAGTCACGGCTTCCCACTAGAATCCCAGGTAACGGCCTAAATAGGGCCAATCGCTAGTGAGTATCAGATCAGTTTTCAAGTAATGGTTTGTAGGGGTATTTTTGATTTCGTTGGAGGATGGTCTACAAGCTAACCTTTTACGCAGAAGATCCTGGGTCCGAACATCGGTGTGTGCGTACTACTGAAAAGTCCCAAACTACCACGAAACGGCTGTCCAGTACTCTCAGGTTTTCCAATGGTTCTCTAACCAATGTCAGCTGATGACGAAATCCTCCAACCGAATCAAAATAATCCCAGCAAACCAATACTTATATATATATGACTTTATTCTAAAGTCCTTAGTCATAGATATAGCAAATACCGATAATAAACAACTTAGAACAAAGCTTTGCGCTAAAGACAAACTTTTTCAGTGAGTTGGATGATATTTGTACATATTTAATATTAAAGAAAGTGTTTATCATTTAATCCATATTTCCATGCATTATAAGAATATAAATTTGGCACTGTGGAAGAGTATAATTTTGTAATAGCATATGACATAATAATAATAATAAGTAAACTGTACTCGGAACGTCGTGGGTAAGCAAATACTACGGTACCGCTATTTGTTTCTACCAAATAAAATTTATTCTTTTGTGGGATTGCCATCCATTCGTATTGTTCCCACAATAAGCTACAATCTAATGACATGAAAATAAAATAAATTATGTTTGAAACATTTTTCTTCTCAATCCTTAAATCCAGAGTGGAACATAGGTCTTCAAATTCTGAAGTTACAGTCGCAGTGGTGTTATCCTTATGAGATGTTGATGCTGGCCTCACACTCAGTTTTCCCTCTTTTCTAAGCTAAACTAGATGAAGTTTAGGTGAGTATCAGTAGGTCATGAATCCAATCCGCCAGCCACCATCCCCTCACCACCTGAGTGGCTGGTGAGCATTCCACCACGGAACTAACAACGCATAAATTCAATGTCCAATATAAAATAACTTTGTATGTACACTTTCATGTTTTACACCTGAAATGATCAAAACAATAAAATATTCAATTACAGTTATATTGACTGATGTAATATATTGATCAGTCGAATACAACATCATGTTGTTCAGCATACTTCAGTCGTTGTGTATGACTATGGCTTACTTGAAACAAAAAAGACTTTTTAAAGGATTCCCCTTGAAATGTAATTAATTATTACCACCATATATATATATATTTATTATCTTTTCTTCTTTCTTCTTTATTCCTTTACGTTCCCAGTGGAACATGGGGCTTCAAGTTGGAGGCTTGAAGTTTCGGTATCAGTGATGCTAAATTTTTACCGGATGGAGTTGCCAGCCTCATGCTCAGCCTTCCCTCTTCACCAGTCTTATTACCTGTTTAGCGAGATAATGGAGTGCATCTGCCGAGGATCGAACCTCCAACCACATGCGTGGTTGGCGAGCATTCTACCGCTATGCCACCGACGCGTATATATATATATATATATATATATATATAAATCGTTTAAGTCATTTGCTCACATTTAATTAATCTCAATTAGCTATACATGAGTCACAATTTCTCTTGTTTATCATAAGACAAATGAATTTTTACTGATGTTGATAATCTTATGATTTTATTAGATATATCCAGTGTCTGTTGATATACACATTTTTTATCATTATATTCATGTGAATATCAGTTTATTTTATCTCCTGTTTCTCTGATTTCACTTACTTACTCACTTCTTAAGTGTTATATTTAAATTACACTGAGTTGTGCAGTTGATATCAGTTGCCAAGACAGTTTTACTTGGCATACATGTTGTTAATATTACTTGTGAGGTCTTATTATTTATTATTATTGATTTTGAACAATGTGGTATTATATTTCTTAGTGAAAAAGGAAACAAAAGAGTTATTGAAATTTTATTTTAAAATAAATTACAAAGTAGATAACTTTACTAACTGAAACATGAAATGTTCATATGATTATGTATTCAATAATCAGTAAGATGTTGATTTGATGAAAAAGAATTTATCGATCGTTAATGAGAGGAATCGATGAAGCCAACTAAATGAATTGTAAAGTAAATTTCTCAATAGCTGACATGTGAAAACCTGTAGGCATTACAAAGAATTAGTTGAAATCGAAAGTTATGAGCTACTGAATGATAGTTCAGTGTTTTACTTAAAACCTGATGATCCCCAGCTGAATCCACAGATAACTACCTCTGTGACATGATGTAGATTGACAGGAAGCGGTTAAAATTGAAATCAACATTTTAAGTTAATGGCTGTAGAGGCAGAAGTGATTACTCCTCAAATCTGGATTTAGTTTACATCGTAGACATGAAATAACCCCAGTGGACAACTCGTACAACTTTAGGCCACTTAAAAACCGATCGGAAGGATTTATTCTCCTCTGACGTAGCCGAACTTTAATGTGGTGTAGAATGTATAAATATCATGTTTTGCGTTAATAAAGGTCAGTTACCAGATCTCTTGTCTTCTCCCCACTTGGAACTGTACAGTTATGAATTACTCGTTGATTGTGAATCGGTCTTTCGCTTATATCATCTAGGAATGAAATTTAAGGTGAATGTGTTTTATTGTAAGCTTATGTATAAATTTAAGTCAGTGGTTGTTAAGGTTTCTCTATCTTGGATGGTTTATTTGGAAAGCTTTCATTATCCTTCTGAAGTTAGCCCTAAGGACCTTGTCTAGAAGGACAATAAAATTGTTACTAATAAGTTAACTAACTTAGAGAACATAGTGACATGTAAAACATTCAAGTGAGATAAAAATGCTGTTAATTTATTTGCCTCAATGTTCTTTTCTTTTATCTCATATTACTTTACTACTATGAGTAGTTAAACTAACATTCAGTTATCTGAAATATCCTACACTTCAAAAATGCTGTCTATTTTAACATCTATATATGCATACTGTGTAAATTTTTTTAAGGTTACTTGTATAATTTAGTTCACTTCAAAATCCCTTTTTATTGTTCTGAAATTCACTTAACTCATTACTGTTACGAATTTAATCATGAGCTGACATCAGTTAGAGAACCATGAGGAAAACCTGCAAACTCACACTAGATAGTTAATCTTAAACTCAATGGAGACTAGCTATGTACAGGAAGTTACCTGGAGTTCTAGTGAGAAGTCGTAACCAGTGGGGCTTCCACAAAGTCAAGCAAGAGAACAGTTACTCACCTGTGGCACTGGTTGGTGGTTGCGCTTAATATCGCGAATTGGCAAAAGTTGGAATTCACAAGCCTCAGATCTGGTCTCAGTGGCTGAATGGTCTACGAGCTCGCCTTGTAACCGGAGGATCCTGGGTTTGAACCCTGGTGAATGAGTATTGCTAAGGGGTTCCAAGCTAGGATGAGATAGCTGTCTAGTACTCCCCGGTTTTCCACTGGTTCTCTAACTGATATCAGTTCGAGGTCAATCCTGTGACTGCTCTTTATAGTATTTATTTAAATTCAGTGGCTAAGCTAGGAGAAATATTTTTATGAAATATCATGAGTGTAATAAATGATTCAATAAATATTAAATTCTTTTTACTACTAAGGCTTTTTCCTAACTCACATCACCATTTCACTGTGTCAACATCATTCTATAGAACAGATGTCTCACAGACACAAATGTTATTTTTAACTTTTATTGTACGTTAGTTTATAAATGTTTGCCTAACAGAAATCATTTTTCATCCTATTTGAGACTGATCAACTGGATCCATCTTCATCCTAGTAAATCAAAATGTCCCTATTCAGACTGAAACTTAACACAACAGCTTCAAACGTCAGTGAAACCGAACGAGAAGAAAGTCATAGGTTATTTTGTATAAATAGTTCTTATTTAATCCCTTTAATACTTGAACAGATTAAAAAGTATCGTTTGCAAATTGTGAATTTGATTTAGGGTGTTACCAGGTCGTACAAGTAGCTCCAAATAAGTGAAATGACTGTCCGATGTCTAGATCACCTCGATTTGGTTAGCAAGTACTACTACTAGTTGATGTGAATGGTATACAACTACTGATTTCAATCAGTCAGTAGTATATAGTTTTACGCATTTATGGTATCAAGCAGACCACATATTGTGATATGAATAATTTTGGTTTCCACAGGAATCTGTAGTAAAATTACACCTCCTCGAACTGTGTAATTAGCAGACTATGAATTTTTGGTATTAGATGGTTGGAGGCAATCGGCAGGAAGCGTTGGACCTAGGTTTCGTGCTAGTTGGCACTCATCAGCAAGGCGTATTTGTAACCTTGAAGGAAATCATCCAACCATCTAATACCAACAATTCGCAGTGCACCGTAACGGCGAGCCACCTAGCATGGTGGCCACATTGCAAGCTTGACTGATAGAATTCGGTCTGCAGCGAAGATAGGACTAGACGCATTACACTAGTTACTGACTAGTGTGCAATCAAAGACTATATGTTATAAGTATGTTTAATTATTAAACTGTCTTATCAAAATTACTCTGGAGTTTCATTATCATTATTGTTATTCTTCTTTTATTTATTCCAGGACACAACCAAGTCAGTCAGCATCCTAATTCGTCAAACATCTACTCATCAAATATATACGATAACAGTGTAACAGGATCATCATCATCATACAGAGACGATAAATTGCAAACAACCTATCCAAAATCCTATCATACTGAATATAGCGGTAATTCACAGCCTCAGGATGGTACATCTATGAGGCCAGAAAGCCGTACGCTACACATAAGGGATGAAACAAACCTAAAAAAGCCATATGATGTTCATACAGTATATTACAATGAAACTATTTATGACAATGAATTAAATGAATGTAATAAATCCAGTAAATCGTTTCCCCATACTAAAAATCAACCACCAACAGCAATATCCCCATCATCATCAATTTTGGCTAAATCACCATTTATTGTAGAAGATCGTTCAAGGCATTCTAACAGTCGGAGTCATTTATTCCAAGAAAAAGAAGTTTCAACCAATTCAATGCCATTTGTAACCGTAGAAGAAATTACATCACATCGTAAATATCAACATCAAAATCAACCGCATTCTGAAACATTAAATATTAAACAAGATGATATTCAATTGGCATCACAGAGAAAAAGTCGTATTCTACAAGGGGACGGAAGTGATTTAAATTATCCAAATAATGATTCCATAAGATATATACCAGGCCCGCTGCTACCTGATATCCAAATGCCACAGAAAACTTATATTGAAAGTCAATCAGTAACAACGCTAGATAAAAATGCTCAAAGTTATAAAGGGAATGAGACTACAGTAACAGATTTAACTGGAATTGGTAATGATGAGGAGACTTACAATTATCATTCATACGAATCTGTAACAGTTAAAGATGAGACACACAAATCAATAATTAAGCCTGATGAGGCTAATAAAAGTTCGCAAGAAAATACTTACCCAATATTACCGTCTCCTAACTATAAAACAGATACGAACTACAATGTAATAAGTGACGAATCTTTTAAAGTAAATGCACCAACGAAAAACCTCCAATCCTCCTCCAGTCATACTCCTTCTACAAAAGTAACTCAAAAACCTGCTGAATTTGTGTATAGACAAAGACAAATGAGTCCAAGTCCACCTAGACATCGACATATTCTTTCGTCTAGTTCACTTACATCAAAACCTCCATCCCAGTATATTCAACGAACAAAATGGCATTTAAAACCAATACCAACTGATGAAGAAATACGTGAAAGACTAAGAAGTTCTAGTCGTAAAAGATTTGAAGAACGTAAATCTCGTTCCATACAAAATCCTCAACCAACAACAACATATCGTCCGCGTAGTTCACGTTCAGATTCACGTTATCGATTCACAGATTTAGATTCGGCTATTGCTGAATCAAAACTTGATACAAATGAAGCTATATACCAGATGAATACAGAAAGTGATTCACATTCAGAAGCAAGACAATCGGCTTCATTATTTGATTTAGACGCACAAATTCATAAATCGTATACACCAATTATACCAAGTTATCAACATCATACTGAAGTTTATCATACAATAAATCAAACAGATCAATTATCAATGAAAAAGTTTCTTGGTGATACAAAATCTTACAGTTCTTTATTAGAAACTGATATTGATACTGGAGAGAATTTTAAACGACCAGTAATCCTTGAAACAGACCTAGATAAGTTGAATACACAAATAAACGATGGTTCATTTGATGCTGCTCTAGTTGATACCTATCAAGATAGAACACGTAGTCTGTATAATTTGACTTTCACCCACACACCTGGTGCATTTCGTCGACAAAGATCAAATGATATAAATGGGGATAGTAAAATCCAGCCTAATGAAATTGAATTAATTCAATCCCCTGATGGTCAACAATGGGAAAAGGCTAAGAGTTATCAAGGTCTTACTAATGATAAAGGAGAAAATGACTCCCCAAAACCACAATCACAATTTGAAGTAGTAAAGAGTAAAAGAAAGGCAGCAAACAGTGGTGCACAAGGTTTAATTGATCGTTTAAAAGAGAAAGCACGTTCAACGCATGAATTACGTGTTGCTCAATCATTAACAAAATTACATATTCCTGAATGGTTGGATAAAGCAAATTGTTTACAAACATCTGATATCATAACACTGACAGCTAAAGAACATTATCCAAGTGAATATAGAGCACAGGTTAGACAACCAATTCAAAGATACTACACCAATACAACATATACACCTCGCTCGACAAAATCAGTCCTATCATCCCTCAGGTCATTGTCTAGTACAAGTAAACCCGGTGATAATAATAATATTACATATTCAAGTATAGGCAATACATCATTGTATAAAAAAATAGAAACAGTAGCTGAACCAGTATGGCCAAAATCATCAGATAGTACACATCCACCAAATTTTATACGACCAAGTCAATTAATACGACAAAAATCTGCACAAAATAATAATTTACGTCCTATTCAATCAAAATTAAATAATTCAATGCGTTCATTAAGTGCACAAAGATTTAAAACTGATGAAAGACAAGATGATATACGACCACAAGTAGCACCAAGACAGAATCGAACTATTGGACAAGGTAAATTGATTGAATTAAATCCACAAGATTTTATACCAAAATATGAACAAAGATGGGGTAAAGATAAATTGAATACACTGCATCATAGACTTGATAGAGCTACAACTGAACCTTTAGAAAAATCTAATCCTCCTGACCAATCAACATATTTAAATTATTCTAAATTAAATAGTACACAGTATACTACTACTACTAATACAACAACTAAGATCAATTTAATATCTTCACCAACTACTGAAAAGCAAGTATATGATGCTTATTCAAAAAACACAACTACATCATTTTCTGATATAAAAGATGCTGATCATGATTCAGGAACAGAAAATTCCAATGAGCGTCAAATGTTGTCACCAGAACATGATATGATAAAAAAAAGTAATATCCAACATGAAAATATTACTTCAAATATATCAGTTAAATCGAACTACTTTACAAAAAATGATAATCAAAAGGTAGAGTATTCAAAATTAAAGAATGACATCGAAAATGAAACTCGTCTTAGCTTAGATCATTCTGAAGGTAAAGAATCTTCTGAAATCATAAATGTACCAGATAAAATTTATGCTGATAGTGAATTTCATTCTGTAGACGCTGAAGGTGAAACAGAATCTGAAGTAACCGATGGATTTGATCAGATATCTGATTTAACTTGTTTAACTTCCCTGCTTGATACATGTTCATCAAGACATCGTAGTCTACTTGCAAATAGACCATCAGCACTTGAACATCTTTTAGTAAGTGTTGGCTGGTGGCCTGTACATCCAGATGCTGAACATCATTATCTTCCTCCTACGGCAGCTGAAGCTATTTCTATAGCAGCGCATGAATTCGATGTTAAAGAAGATTCTCATCGTTATGAATACTTTCAACTTATTTCTGGACCGCATAGTTTTAAACCATTAAACTTAGGAGAATTTGGATTGAATCAATTATCTAGTACTATTGTACGTCATCCAGTAGATGGTTTATTGTATATTAGTTGCAGTAAATCAACATGTTCAACAAAGCCAGTGCCAGTCTCTCAAGCCTCTAGATGGTGTGCTTGTGCTAACTGTTTTACACTATATTGTTCAAATAAGTGTAGAGAAGAATGTGAGAAAAATGCCAATGATCACCCTATGAATTGTTCATTTTCTAGAGCTAAACGAGTTTGCAACCGTTTATTAAGAAATCTTGCTCCTGGTCAGATCACAGGTCTTACCGCCCTGGCTAAAACTGGAATGGCACGTCTTGGAAGAGGTGGAATCCTCTTACCATTTGCCTTAATTAGACATGCTGAAATATTTTTACAGCGTTCACTTGAACATTCATTTGTGAATGAACAATTGAATGATGCATCTATGGAGAAAGCAGTTCAAAAATGGGAGAAATTTCATCAACCAAGTCCTGGAGGCTTAATGGCCCCACCAACTTATTTAACACTTAGTGAATTAGAAGAGTTAGACTCAAGTATTGCTAATCCTTGTAGATCATATAATCCTGCATCAAGTATGGTGTTAATTGTTGTCATTTGTGCATATGAATTAATTGCTCGATCCGATGGTCGACCAGTACATTTATTTAAGCAAAGTTTAATTCTACCTTTTCCATCACATCAAAATGTAAGAAACAAAAATGAAGGAGGAAATGCATCGCAGAATACTCAAGTAACTGAAAATCCACAACCACCGTCATCATCATCAGCAACAGCAGCAGCACTTCAAACAAACGGTGCTCCAAATAAATCTGACAAACAAGCAATGGCTGCCAGAGAGGCGTATATGCTAAGATTACAACGTATGCTTCGTGAAAGAGGTGTAAGTCTGAGACATCATTATCCAGAGATTTATACAAAAATTGCTCATTTCGTTGAAACTGGTATCCCATTCACTTCAATACGTATTACATTTGATGATTTTCTCCTACAACAACAAGTTAATTGTATCATTCAACCAATGAAAAATTTGTACATAGAACCAGTTAATAAAAATTATGATGTTGAACAAAAAAACCTCATTGAAACAGAAAAACCATCAACTAATTTACAATCAAAACATGTAAAAAGTTCAAAATCTTTTGAAAAATCTATAATTAACCGCCAAAGACTAACTGAAACTAATTTCTAATGAATAAATAACTTCTCTCCTACCCCACGCACCCACCCTCCCATATATGAATAATTTCATTGTTTAATTTGTTTATTTGTTCCTTTCGTTTTTTTTGAAAAAAATTTTTTTTATTTTACGATATTCTTAACAGTTTTATTGTTTACATAATGATGATTCTTCCCTTCAAACTACCTATTCATCCGTGTAATTATAATAGAAAAATCTACTTCAAGATCAGCTGGCTTAATGCCTCAGTGTAGAGTAATAATACTTGTTCAATGTTCAAGAGGAATAACATTCACTATTGAAAATACAAAAGAACAATCAAACAAACAAACATACAAACAAACTGAAAATGCAGAAAGTGTATTTAAAGCAGACTACTTTACATCTTTTTCTAAAGAATTTTAACTATCAGAGTAGTTATTACTTTTGTTCATGTGTTGTTTTACTGAAGTGTTATTGTATCCACCAGCCCCTCCCGCGTCTGTTTCTCTCTCCCTCTCTCCCTCCCTATTTATTGTTCATATTGTAAGTAATTTCTCTTGACAGTTGAATATGAATAAGTTATTGTTTATTTGTTTGTTCGTTTTTATTGCCCTCACTGTTTATCATATAACTAGTGCTTCCACGATAATTAAGTAAGAATTTTAAATGCATATATACATACATACATATATATCTATTGATGTCATTGGAGCATTCAAATAGGATACATTTGTTTGCCTTTTCAGTTGTCCTCTAATCTATTTTACCCTATTGTTTGTTTGTTTGTTTGTTTTACCCTATTTTCTAAAATAGTTAGTCAATAAAAGTCAAGGAAAAAATGTATTGTAATGCAATTGTAAATATAATATTCAATATATATACATAAGTATTGCTTGTCCGTTTTTTTGTTTTTGCAGTTAAGTACAAGTTTACAAGAAGTAAATTACAGTACATTTAACTTTAGTTTTATTCACTTGCTAGTTCTTTCACTCTTTTTTTTTGAAAAAAATAATCTATTCTCAGTTGAAAGAAAACAACTTTTTTTATCCTTTCGCTGTATACTACTTAAATATTGGGCTCAATAGTTTTTGGAAAAAACGAGGCTTAATTCGTATAAATTCGATTCAGTGAAACATCACATTTTTTTTCTTTCTTTTTTTTTTTAAAAAAATGTCTGTACTTTTGAATTGTCTTTTGAATCATTTTCTTTTCAACCACTTAACAGGCTTTTTTTCGAATAATTTCTCTTCCCATTTTTTTAAAAAATTTCTTTCGATTTGTTATTGCATTTTACTCTTGTTTTAATTAAGTTGTGTAATTATATTGATTGAAATTTGATAAAAAAAAGCAAATGGTTATTTACATGTTTACATTTCTCTATCCATTTCTGCATACAACGTTTACTTTATCTTCACTTGTTTCCTTCTTTAGTTGCTTCCTTCTTCAGGTAGACTTGAAATTAAATGGGTAGGAAAGTAAAATTCCATTTTTACTTGATCATAATCACATCAGTTACACAATTAACCAGAATATTTACATGCCCACATCCACACCTGCCCACACACACACACAAATAAACAACGAATAGAACTATAACTTTTTCATTCAGTACTCAGAAGGTGTAAGTAAAATGCCTTATGTTGAACAATTTTTCTTCATCCTAATACTAACATGATTATTTCAAGGTGAATTTTCAAATGTTTTTATACTATTGGAGCTGATATTAATGATGATGATAATGACAATAATAATACTAATAAGAGGTGTTTATCATACCTATAATATACAATTAAAGATAATCATAAGTTGTACTGCTTTCATAATGATTACCTTTTTTTAAAAAAAAAATCAATAAAAGAATGAATTGTATGACTTTTTATAATACATCTTTTCACTTGTTCCAGAATATATGAAAGGAAAATTTCTTCGTGTTCTAAGATTTTAGCTATTAAATTTCACTAGGTTATCGACGAGTGAGTACAATTTAAGTTATTTGAAAATTTTGTATTAAGAAGTCCAGTTGCTCCCTGTTGACATAATCTTTTTATATTATACCAATTATGTATGAAAAGGAATGAATTGCTTCATATCAAATACCAATGATGATTAAGGTGATGATAGGGGGAGGGGGTAAACCGTTGTCTCTTTCAAGATGACAAACCCAGTGGCGAAATGACACAATACAAACAACTGATGAAAGAATTAGATGTGTCACTTTGTGTTTAAGCAAACTTACAATTAATATTTTCAGTGAATAAATGCGTCGTCACCATTCAGTAGGGACTGTAAGTTTCATCTAGCGAAGAGAATATTTTGATGTGGTTGTGTTCTGTGAGCCGGATAGTCAATTTGAGAAGCTTTCATCACCCTACTAGGCGACATCTTCAGGGCATACTTCAATTTGATGAAGTGAGCTTTTGGATTTCTCCACGAGTTTATTAATCATCTTCCCTGGTGACCTTGGACGTGATTGGTTGTTTTTGTGTGTTTTCACACCTTCTAGGCTACTTGCATTGGAACTGATTGTTTCCTTGACTTGAACTTTTACCCTCTGTTTATGAGATTTCTTTCTTATCGATTGGTAAATTTTGTCTATCTCGATGTGTCTATTGATTGATGATTCACTGGAATACCATCCTCCTAAATATCTTCTGTCATTATTGATGTTTTCTCTGTTTAATATTTGAATGTTGTCCCAGTCGAACTGATGTTCCTGGTTGTCTGTATGCAGCGATATGAGCGAGGGAGTGAATGTCATATCTTTTGACGGCTAGTTTATGATCATGGATACGAAGAAGAAGGGGAAATCCACTTAAGTCAATGTAGTGTTTTTCGCAGTTGTTACAATTTATTTTGTAAGGTCACACACAAAGGATCAAAGTTCAATTCAAAGAAACAATCAGTTCCAATTCAAGTAGCCTAGAAGGTGTGAAAACACACAAAAATAACCAATCACGTCCAAGGTCACCAGGAAAGATGATTAATAAACTCGTGGAGAAATCTAAAAGCTCACTTCATCAAATTGAAGTATGCGCTGAAGATGTCGCCTATTAGGGCGATGAAAGATTCGCAAATTGACTATTCGGCTCAGAGAACACAACCATATCAAAACCATCCACCTGAGCTGCAAATCTTTTCCATCATGTCTGAAGAGGATATTATAAGTTTCCAGCAGGGATATTTCACAACAATAGAGATTTAGCATTGAGGTTTAAAGACAGTCAATTTAATCATAACTGAGAAGCTGGCATTGAAAGATTTATGAATTTAAAGAGGCAGCTTGTCCTTGATTCGGATCTCTAGATTAAGTACAAGCATGTTGTCGATAGAAGGATTACAAGGAATTATGCAGAAAGAGTGATAAAACAACAGAAAACAATAATGAAAATAATTTGCTTTATTTCAAAAAGGGTATTTATGCTACAAATGTAGAATGCCTAGCGTTTGGTACAGTATTGTAGATAATTTTGGCTAACAACAGAAATAACAACAATAGGAAATAATACTGCAGCGCATAGGTAAAGAGGATTGATAATTGCAGATTTTTCAGAAATGTACAAAAAGCGTAAAATAATGACAACAATGCTAACAGCTAAAATTATAAGTTAATTACAATAGTGCCACAGCTGATTACTTATAGGACAGAATAAAAGAGCTAATTATTTTGTTAATAACGTAGTAAGTTGTAGGTTTCGCGCTTACAAATATCTCTATCACATAGAACACGGGCCAAATAGGGTATCGTTGAGTTTATGTACTTGTCTTTACGGACGTATAACCATTTGTAATGGCTGCCAGTCTTACCTGATGCGATTCTAGGAGAGAATTTTGAATTAAGATGATTCCAAGAGTCAGAAAGTACGCATTTAACTCAGGTGTTTATCGAATACAGTCGTTACAAGCTGACTGATTGGCATACAACTCGCCCTGCTGACAACGTTTAATACTCTTCGCGATATGACATAATCCTTTCTGAGCAGCCCAGGAAAGACTAAGGTGGAGCAGCAAGGTAAAATAAGTTAGATGCAAGAGGTGACAAACTGTAAAAGTAGAAGTTGACTGATTCCTGATTGTCTCAACTTCCTAACTGAGTAGGTTAGACGGAACATTTTCGCCGAAATCAGCAAGATATAGTATGACTAAGAAAGGTCAGAGGAAACAATTATCCCAGATTATTGAATGTTTGACTTAGTTTCCGTTTCAGAGCCCTCTTTGCTGCAAGCATCTTGTGAAGGAACCAGTTAGCTTAGATCATATTTACGCTTGAGAGTAAAGCCAATTGTCTGAAATTTGGCGGGATTCGAAGTGAGACCACTTAAATTAAACTGTTGGCAGACGTCCAACAAAAAGCTATCCAATTATAACTTTAATTTGTGGATGGTGACTACCAGTGGAATCCAGGATACACATTTCGCCCTATTTGGGACTCGTCGTCTGGATGCACCTGCACACCCCAGTGAGTGATGATGTTCCCACCGAGGCTCGAACCCAGTGCCCATAGTTTCAAACGCCAAAGCGTTATCCACTACACCACTTGGCCCACGAGAGCCACCTCTTGTACAATGGATCATACTAATTTAATTGAATTTTAGATTTTCCCGTCCATTGACTGGACGAACATGTCAACCTTAGACCGAGCACTTCGGTTCAATCAATCGACGGGAAAATCTAAAATTAAGTCAAATAACCTATCCAGTTTGGAACAGTCAGATCGTGAAGCAATTGGCGACGGGGCAGTCAGCATATTTAATAAAGCTGAATTCGCCCGAAAGAGGTTAATCATATAAGAAGGAGGAGGAAAGAAGAGAAGATAGAACAGCACCTTGAAGGACTCCATGTTCAATAAACAAGACAGAAAAGACTTGAATTCCCGTACAGTATACTGCATTCTGTCAGAGAAATAAGAATACAGGCGGTCAACAGCCTACGACCCGGTTTGTCTCAAGGAAAGTTCACTTAACACAAGACACCTGGGCACAGAGATAAAAGCGGATTTGTAGTCAAGGAAGGTACGTCAAAAATATTTGACTCCTTTGTCTAAACAGGAAACAATGCCACAAAATAAGACATCAGCAGTGTCTGAACTACATCTGCTTTGTTCGTATGAAAACTGTTTAGGGTCATTGGAACGTCTCAAGCGACGTTCAAGGTTGAGTAGATACAATTTTTCCATGAATTCTCCAAAGGCACAAGTAATTGCGATAGTTCCAAATTCAACATTCACACCAGCACATGATTCAGGTACTGGGATAATTTTAATGTTACCCCATGCGACGGATAGAACATTACTGGGCAAAGAAGCGTTGAAAACGTTCGTAAGAGGATAACAAACGACATTCACATATCGCCCGAGAATAGAAGCTAATACATTATCAGGATCAAGTCTTCGGGAAGGCTTTGTGGATTTTATACATCTAAGAACACCAATAGTGTTAAAACTATGGGGACAACTAACCTTGTTATTAGTAACATTAGGAATAATAAGTCTTTGGGAGGGCGCACAGAAGATTTGTTAAGAGTATCTGCACCAACAGACAGAATAATAATACTCTGCTGACTACTGCCAGTAATTTCATTAAAACGTTCACACTGTAAATCTTTGGTTATAAATGGTGTATCATCTTTGAATTTCAGATTTGATCGAGATGTCAATCCTTCTAAAACCAGATCTTTCTTCAGTCTTGTATAACCATTCTTTTTCTCTACATAGCTTTTTAAGGGGAGGGGAAGAGAAACAGTCAAATCTTCTGAACAGTGTAATGTATTTGGGTAACAGATATCAAGGCAGAATTTAAGATAATCAGTTATGTTAGTGATTGTGTCATCTAGTGTATGTTCGGTAATCAGGTCACAGTTAGTGTTCTTCAACATGCATCTAAGATTGTGTACATTGTTTTGTGAATGTCACCTCTGTTAAGTATTCATAGAAGGATGAGATAATACACCTGTGTATGACTTATCATATATTTTAGGCAACTGGCGTACATTGCAGTGACCAGATTTTAATGTTCAAACTAACTTGCGTGCTTCATATATTTCGTCTTCGTTTGTGAACACTAGATCCAGTGTTTTAGCTTGTTTGTGATGCATCATCCGATTTTTAACCCAAGAAAGCCAGATAAACAAGGTGTAGCATTTGATAACTCCACAAAACGCAACGGTTATCCTTGAATGACAGAGTATACAGTCGTCCAGACTATGTTAGTTCATTAGCTGCTTCATTGCTGAGATTCAAGTAACCAAACGTCATTACTGCGAGTATGGAAATATTCTTACAGCTGGAAGTATCGGCGAATGGCTAAAACTATTTCAGATTTTTGTGACTGGATGGTAGTCTACATAACAAATCGTTAGAATAAAGAACGACAATTCTCTTATTCACTACCACGTCTTATCCATTTTTGTTCACGCAAACATACATCTGCGTTAGGTTTCCACAATGTATCCGACATAATGGATTTCTGTTTCTATGTAGATGACTTATTACTCATTATTATTCCGTTGGGTTCTGAGTGGAACACAGGGCTTCAACAGCACATCTCCATTGTGTCCTGTTCCAAGCAGTCCTCTTTAGCTGGTTCCACAACTACTCATAAGCTCTCCTCTCCTTACACTATCTCCTCTATGTCACCATCGAACTCCCAGCTCGTCGTTTCTCATCCAGGTTCTACTTGGAGGTCTACCTAGCACGTGATGTTACGCAATAGTCTTCTCACAGTCTGTCAGACTCATCTGCATTTTCTTCTACATGAG